AAAAGAAACAATACGATGAAGGGAAAGGTCTGTTAGTCACAGGTTCATTTTACTTGTAAACCAATGGCCAATAGACTAAAAAGCGATAAGACAAAAGAATGGCGGAGAGAGAGAAATTCAAGAATGAGAACAATTTCCGGTTCCATTACCTGTCGGTTTACTGGCCAAAAAATAACAGTAATAAGACTGCCCCTCATAGTATCAACTATTGGCGAGTTGAGAGAGAGAGTATATGAGTGAGGTTAAGGGGCAGCCATTAAAAAAAGCCATAAAAAAGTCGCACGGAACGTCGTTAGCGGTTGCTACACACACGCACACACACATAAATTGGTGGGGTTTAACACGTAATGGCGCCAATGAGGTGAAGCAGATGGCCACGTTCTTAGGAGTATTGACTAAAACTGCCGAATGAAGGACGAGAGAGAGAGAGAGAGTAATCAACCTATACTGCCATCACCAATATCTATCTGGTTTACAGATGATCACAGTAAGTGATGAAGTGTACAAGTGCATTGGTGGTAAAATGATTTCGCACTGATATACTCAAATCCCGTTAAAATAAACTATTGGTGAGCGTATTATTGATAATAGTTAATCTGCGGTAGTTATTACAACTGTGAGCAAGCGCACTTTTGCCACCTTTTATCGGGGGAGCACAAATTGAGCAGATGGCTCGCTAGAGAACTTGGGGGGGGGGGGGGGGGGGGGGGGGGGGNGGGGGGGGAGGGGGGGGTAAACCAACAGCTTATGAGTTACAAGTGGAACAGATTTGGATAAAAGAAATCGCGATTCATGATAGTTCCTTACTGCAAACATTTAAATTTACAAGCTAGCAAATACCAAATCAGCTGGATATATGCAATCGATTGGCAACAATGAGGGAAAAATAAAACTCTTATAACAGAAAGATTACCTTTAGAATGAAAATTCGGTCACGAATGTATTCGATGAGCCAGAACAGACATTATAAACAAAATTGGAGTTGCTTTATTCAAAATAACATGTGACTACATGTGATAAATTGTGAAGTGAAAAGAATTTTTTAAAAAAGGCCGGTGGTTCCTTAAAATGAATGGTAAGCGTATATGCAGCCTAGATAGAGGAACAATTAAAGCACAAACCAAGAAAATAGGAAATCAATAAATCTTACAATAGCAGAAAATAACAATTTCTCTCCAATGATTGAAATCCAGGACTGATCATGGTAATGAACTGAAAAGATAAATTTAAAAAAAGGAAACCAAATTTAACATTGTAGTGAAGTTAGCAGTTGGGAGTTCATAAGCTTTAATAACACTCTTTATGGAAAGCACCACTTGATGCCTCTTACTACTCAATACAAAGGAGGTTTTAGAAGGGGAAATAGAAAAATAAATCAAGTCATCAAAGTGTCAAATACCACTTAGCTTTCGGACTCAGAGGTGATACCTTTTAACTTCAGTGCTTTTTATTCCACTGATCAAATAGCAGAATTTGATCCTGTTAACTGGGTGAAATTATGCTCGCGGATTTGTTGATCAATTTACTAATAAGAGGGGAGATTTTCTCCTAAAAGACACAAAATCATTCTTGAACGCAAACCGCCAATTACAATAGCCAAAATAAACATTTACGAATGTAAAATGCGGCACGAAACAAGAATATAAATTTCAAAGACTGAATTTAAACATCGGTGCAAACGTACCTTCACTGGTACTGTGAATAACAAACTGAAATGAAAATAAGCAAATTCCCACATCAATACTGATTCACATAAGTATATAGTACTGGAATAGCAAAAAAAGTGAAGATATGAGTACTGAAAACCCCGATATGAAGGTCATTGCGAATCAATCATGCTCCATTAATGAGCGTCTAAGGCTAAACAGTAGAACTAGTCTTAACATTAACACATTTGGCCCGTCAACGTCCTGCAGGACAATGCGGTCCTCTTTCAATATAAGCTCCATTGTGGTACTAGACTCGTAACGGAAGGCACGAAATTGCCGTTTGAAACATGTTCAATACGACTATAGCCTCACCGAGACGTTAATTCACATGGGCAAGCAGATGACTTAGGCTATCAGTTCTATCAAGAGGACCTATTTGTACCCCCTTTAGTAAATATGGCAACCGTACAAACCATACGAGGGATTGTACAACTAAAGTTTCTCAATAGAGAAGCTGCAGAATTTCTGATCAGGTATTACTAACGCTTCTCCTGATGAGCTTTTGGAATTTAAGCGCTTAAGGTTAGGTGGATTTACATTGCATTAACCGCATGGATTTTCTTTGGCCGTAAAATTGTTATTTAATGTTATTTAACCTATGGAGTTTTCTTCTCATATCATTTAAATTGGAACTGGTTAACCTTAGTGCTTTGAAGTATAGAACATCCGAATGCAATCTATTAGTCTTCAAAAATTGGAACTCCATGGGATCTTCACCCACCGTTCTCCACCATCAAGCCCCAGACGACCCCATAACACGCTGCAACTCACAAGGTCATACTTTAAGAGTGGATAGTGGACATTTCATGCTGCAGTTAATTAATTTCNGGGACTAGTTATTTTTCCAAAGCTGCTTCATTTCACTCTTCATTTCAACCCACATCTTTGATAACTAAGACTACTCTTCCTTACAATCGAAGGCACTCAACAGAGCGCACACACAACGCCCGACTTCAGGAGAGTGAATTTCATGCAATTTTCCCTATAATACAATGGTTTCATTTTAGTTAACCTTTTAACGCCATGCAGAAGAGTACGGTCCTCTTTCAAAATAAGCTCCATTGGTACTAGACTCGTAACAGAAGACGCGCTATTGCCGTTTGAAGCATGTTCAATACGTGTCTATATAGCCTCCGCCTGATACCCCACCAAAAGTCATCACACATCGGTGACATCAGTCTGCTGCTATGAGACACATGTGAGTGCAGTTGGGTTCATTTTACAAAAAGATAATTCGGGTGTTAAATGGTTAACACTGCACAGTAAAGAACGATAACCTGTGAGTAAATATACTAGTAGGACACTGCCAATAGAAAACTTAGCACGAAGTGACTTCAATCTATGGTGGTAAGTTAAGGCTACCCGAAAATCGTACTTTTTTCAGACCAAAAATAATCCCATGACATCGCTCTTAAGTAGGCACACTAAGGGTAAGACGTACCTTGAAAGTGTGTCAAAGTATAAACGAAACGAGGCGAAAAGAATGCAGTTTGAAAAAATTGGAATGATCCTGATAAACAGTTTATAAAATTGGCATAATTAAGCCGCCTCTGATCACCCCCCGATGAAAATGTAGGTTCAAAATTATTGCTTAAATGGATATTCCGTTGAAATTAGCGCGTAGGAGTCATAGACTGCCTTATTACGAAGTAAATACAGTGTTACTCTAGAAAAATGACCAAAACGAAGAAGAAGACTATATAGCAAATGTCCTCTAAAATTCCTATAGAAAGAATTTCCGAAACAAAAAAACAAATATAAAGAATTGAAATGCCATTAAATATACTATTAACTGAAAGACCTTTGTATCAACGAATGAGAGGAAAGTGACAGGTAAAGCAGAGCTACTGAAACTAAACAACAGTAATACAAAATGAATTGACTTAGTACACTAAATCGAACTCATTTTAAAAGAGCTTGAAACAATAAAAACTGCAATATCATAGCAACAATAAGCAGATAAGATAGTAAACTCATTTAAAAATATTTTTACAAAATTCGTGATCCCATCCATTTACGGAAAAGGAAGGAACCGAACGACTGCCAATAAATATTTTTAACAAAAAATGCGTTTACGCCAATTCCAATCAGCTGATGCAAGAACAGATTGAATGAGAAAGATTTAAAAAAATGAAAATTGAGCCGAATAAAATGATTATGTAAGGCAGATGATGTAACGATACTGATGTACAGCCTTAACAATATACTTACTCACACAGAGGTATAGGAGTCACTCGAAGATCAATGAGTACTGAGGATAATAATAAAGCTGAATTTTCAGAAGACTAGCTATTTGAAAGACTTACAAGTGGCTAGAGGAAAAAGAAGAGCTAAGAATTTGTAGGTTGAAACATTAGCGTAATATACATCAGCCGAGAATAAAGCAAGAAAATTATATGGAACCAAGTAATCCAATTTAATAACTCGATGAAGGATAAAAATTCGTAATATATCAACAATAATAATAGAAGAGAAACAATTAAATAAACTTAACAATGCTGAAAAATATAACAAGAAATCAGCAATTTATCGACTAGACCGATTTCAAGGCAGAAAAATGCCTTTGTAAACAAAGAAAAAGAGAAAGATTAAGAGGTCTCAGCTCCAGGAAATTATACAGTAAACAATTTATGTTTACCGATCTCTATATATGATCACAATATAGGAAATTAAAGATGCCAATTGTACTGAAATATTTTTAGGGAACTCCAAAGAGCTACGATATACGGACGTATTAGCAAGAAAAATAATATAGATAAAGCAAAAGTGAAATCAAAATTCAAACAATGACTAAATATATACAAAAAAACATTGGAGAACAAGTAAATATTGGTGTTGCTATGACGATCCATGTAGTAAGAAAAGAGGTGGGAATAATAAATGACCAAAATACGAAATCAAGAAAAAATACATAACAAATAATAGTGAATATAATAAATAGATGCTACAGTAATATTGAACAGTTAATAGCGAAAAACAGGTACACCAAGCATTGACGTTTAGACCATAAGCATATAGTGCACATCGAAAGCCATTAAAACGACAAGAATGAGTCTTAAGATAGGTAGTTGGGAACCAATTTAAATGAACATAAATTTTAAAAACCCAAAGTAGTAAGGCTTAAAAATAAAGCCAAATGTACTTTCACTCAAAAGATGACCTAGACCTTAGTAAAACCCAAGTCCACTTTATGCCCACGCAATAAGTTATCAAGTTCACAAAGAAATGTTAGAAAAAAGGATTCAATCACTCAAGGAAAGCTTTAAAACAATGAGATAAGTAAATGCTTACAATTTGGAAATCAACCCATAATGAGACGTCAAAAAAGAGTTCGCCACCGATTTGGGAAAGAATTTCGCAAGCAGGGATAATATTAAATAGATCCGAGGGGCTATCAATAAGCTGGAGATCGAAGGAAATATCATTATAAATCGATGCGACAGTCCTATCTGAACCAAGGCGTTGAAAAAATCCTTGTGGTCGGAGTAACACAACGTATTCAATGTGATCTAAATAATTGAGCTGAAATATTTGCTATAAAATGATAGATCAAATCCTACATTTAGGTGGATTAGTAGCTTCTTGGTGGGAATCCAACCACTACCACGACGATCAATCACAATTAAATGGCGACAAGGGTTTCTAAATATAATAAAAAGAGAATATGACCATACAGGTGAAAGAAGTAGTCAAGGATAGAATCCAGAACAGTAGGTGTTATCCCATCATCATAATTGTCGGAGAAAAATATCACGGGGTTTTTATGAATATCCTGGGATCCTAAGATAGTGTAAAGTTAAAAATATAACAGACCTGGAGAAAACACAAAATTCCTTTTCAGGTAATGGGTAATATATTTTGCGCAGGGTTTAATGGGTAATTCATCCATTCAAATGATAAAACGACAGTCCAACAAATTTGGGTGATTTCACATCTGTGCAGTAAATTTAAGCAACTTAAACAAGTTTAAGGCTGTATATAATCTAACAGTAATAATACATTTATGGTGGTGAAAATAAACTGATTAACGAAATATTAAACTCAAATTATAAATTAATGTGAGTCTTTAGCCTTTAATTGCGTCTTTTTGTTTTGTCATATTTTTGTTTATTTTTTCATTAATCGAAATTACAAGTATTTTTATTTAGATCCTGAGCCATTTAGTTTATGCAAAATCCTTTTTGATGGTTATGAGAAATGCGTGTCTTGGACGTTTCTTTTTTTCAATTCTCTTAGTGATTATATAATTTAAAATATATTAAAGCCAATTTTAATAATCGTGCTTTTTTTATCTATTCCAGAACAGAATATTTGACAAAATATTAAGCATAATGCGTACTTCTGTCTACACTAAGTTGCAATTAGTCACCAAACTTCAACCTTTACTAAACACAATGCTTAACAGCCAAAAAAACGGAACTGAATATTTAGCGAAAAAATTGCAAAGTGTTGCTCGTGTGCATGTGCAACCAGTCATCTTTCAAGAATCCATATATAACCTTAGAGGTCTTGTTTTCATCACCATCATCGTATCCCACGTTTAAGAGCAAGTAATCTTAACCAACTAAATTGGTAATATATGCATTTTAAAAGATATTACACTCCTTTTGATCATTTTTATAATTCCTGAAGTAACAGCAGATAAATGGGAAAAATATAATCAGATTTAAGAGACTTATTTATTCAGTCAAGATAATGGTGTCAAACGAAGTATTCTTCTGACGCAGTTCAATATACTGTTAAGTAATTTTTGTGTACCTATTCATTAGATTTTTTCTCTACCTAACTTAATGTACATGACAAATGCTTTTCTCTCAAGGCAAATCCATGCCAAGTGACGTAATTTCGAAAAGTTTTAAATTCAGGGGAAACTAATTAAGAGAGATACTGCACTAAGATTAAAACTGTAATTAAGTGTCTGAAATTTGTGTAATAAAATCTATATATGTTTAACTTTTTATTATATTGTGAATGATTGATTATATAATTTAATTACCACTTTGAATATCAAAATTGAGCGTTATATTAAAATTAATCCTGAACCAAATTTTCATACCTGCATAAAAGAGTGTACTGAATTATTGAATAACACAAAACAAGGTACTGAAAGTGCTGTCCTAGATAGAAAATGCGTTAGGATTGTAATTTCAAATCGATTCTCAATTCATGGCAGTCCTTTATATAAGGAACTAAATAATTTATAATTTGATCTATTGAAAAATCGGTTAAATAATGTCCACTTAGGCTAAGTGGGAATAAGGAATACTGCGTTCACTGAAGGAAAAACACCTAAAGGTCTACATTTAATCTTATTAATAACGTAGGCATATAAATTATTGTGCATGATGAAGCAATAGCAAATTACTTACTTTGATATAATTAAAGCATCCTAAAAAGAATAGGGATGCCACTCTAATCGTGTTTCATTTGAAAAGTAAATTTGTCGAAAGGTTAGCATTCGCGTTATTATTAACTTAGTTTGTCATACAATGCAATAATTTCAGTAATGGTATTTCGCAAAAATAGTTAACTAGAACAAATATTATGATGAAATTTATGATATAATAAACAAAACATTAAAAAATAAATCCAATTACTTAATCAAGAATTTATGTTTGAAAAGATATATAATGGCAGATGGTTAAATTTTTATGAAATAATCAAAAGTAGAAGTGGAAAAAATAATTAAATTTATTTTTATACAATTTATGGACGATTAAATTTCGTGTTTACGTTGAAATTTTTGATTGGTAATAAAACATTTATTTCCTACAATCCTTCTCTCGTTCAATGTGAAATAAATGTTGCTCTTTAAAATAAAACATGATGTTTGTGAAAATAGAAATCACATATTTTCTCTTTCACTTTATTTGCAATTACAGCCTTTTCCTAAATTTTTAGACTATAAAGAGCTCGTCTTCGCTCTGAGGAGACCATCACGTTCGAAAAATAATTTTAACCAGAAGGCTTGTTCATAAATATCTTTAGAAAAGTAAATATTTATAATACTACGGTATTTCAAAAAATATTTAATGACATAATTTTTGTCTGTCATGTAATTAAAAACATGCATATTCACTAATTTTAGCGGAATTTGTTTGACTTATGAGTATATTATTGCAAACCATTAAAATGTACCAATCACAAGGTAAAGGATTTTAGTATTTTATCGCGATTGCTATTTACTAACAATGGCAAGAGGAAAAGCAACCAGAAAAGCACCTTTGAGATCTGTTAAACAGAAAAGAAAGCCTCCTACTAAATCTCGAAGAAAGCCTGTCCGAAAGAAACACATGACAAAGAAGAATGTACCTCAAATTTCTTACAAGGATTCTCATTCCATTGGCAGAAGGAAATCCACGAACGTCCCCACATATAGTGAAAGTGGACGGCTTTACTACGATTTGCATGTCCGATATGGTCCTAGTGTCACCTTCGAAAATAAAGAAGAAAAACCGCCTAAGGATGCTAATCACTGTTGTGGCTTCGAGTCGACTATTTCGGATTCCACTACAATTGCATGCAAAGAAAGCACAGGACCCTCTTCTAGTACCAAGAAGGTAAATGTAAAGTGGAAGAAGAAGCGACGGTTAGCCCAAAAGCGTCAGTCTCCTGTTAAATCAACTGCACCTTTGAATTCTCGTCGAGAGGCAAGTCTTAACGCAGAGGCAAAGGTTAATATGCTTTTTGAGTCCGTTAAGGAAAGTAAAAATAAGCGAAGGTCATTGCCTGCACTTCCTACTACCATTACTAAAGATGGGGTGTCTTCAGAATCCGGCGTTAAATTGAGCCCTGTGAAACTGTCTCCTAGTAAACGTACTACAAAGGCTAGAAGGACGCGAGTTTCTGAACCACCTCCTCTTCCCGTACTGTCTCCTCCACAAAAACGTCTTGCTGGTTTAAATGCGACTGCTATCATCAGTGCCTGTATCAAATCTTCTGAATCGGATAACAAGAAACCGCGTAGGGGGAGGCCTCCTAAATCTTCCTTAAAGTCTCTAACCCCTAAATTCGTAGATGCTAACTCCTCGGCAAATGAAAATGTACAAACAAATCCGACAAAGCCTTCTTCACCTCTTCCTCCATTTCCTGTCACGACTACTATTATCGCCAGTAGTACGACTCAGTTTCAGAAACCCACTCCCTGTTCCTCTAATGCAATTACCACCTTAGCAACTGTATCGGCAGATACTAAAGTCGTTCCAGCTTCTGCTGTGTCAACATTAGAACGATTCCAGTCACAAAAAGTGATCTCTTATGGTTCTAAGTGTATAGGAGTTGAGAATATCTCTCGTCAAATCATACATGTTCCTGGCCAGAGCCCTTGTGTTCCATGTACATCTTGTTCAAATCCTGTGTCACAACAGCTTCAACAACAACGAATAGTTCCTAATTCCATCTTACCATTCTCCTCATCTTCTCAGAATCATTCCATGGTCATGCTCCCAGATTCTTCCTCTTTTTGCCCTCACCCCCCTAATCTAATCACATCTGCTGCAGATATGCAGCACCATCCATGCTTCACGACGAATCAGTTTTACTTAAGTCCTTTCAGTAGTACCAATGGACAGCATCAACAGCAGCAGACCTTTTACATGTCAATACCCTCACCCGCTCCACAGTTTCAGTTCTTCTCTGCTGCTCCTTTTGCTTACGTGCAGCCGTCAGCACAAAACTTCATGTCCAATAACAGCTACATGTTGCCCATGTCTTTTTCTCCCCAACTCTACAATGGATTTCCCTTTGGTGGTGGCTGCTTCGTTCCACGTCCAATGTTTGCTGCTGTTCCTCAGCCACCTCATCAGTTACCATCTCAATTGGCACCCTTACCTCAAACGTCTCTTTTAACTGAAGTAGGAAGCCCTCCTACCGTTAATCAAATTTCGCAACGAATTGATCGAGCAGTTTCTCCAATAAAATCTTCTCCCTCAACTTCTACTCCTGTTAAAAAGCCATTGAGTGGCAAGCGGAATCCTGCTGCAGTATCAATGATAACGACTGTGCCAGTCGTAGAAAAGGAGAAACCCTCACCCTGTTTATGGGCGTGGGTTGGAGAGCCGAGTGAAAAGCGAATCTTCTTGAAAGTGAGTGGCACAAGTATTTTGTTTTCCTGTTGCAATTTATCCTGCGATTTGCTTTATGTTTTGTGCTTTTATCATAAAGGGGTTTAATCTCACAGCCATTGTTGTTAACTGACGAATGTTTGGTTATGTTGTGTTAGAAGCTTCATGCTTTAAATAGCAAATGACATTTTTGGTACCACGTATTATACACTTTTAGCAGTTACGTTTCATTCAGTATTCACTTAGTATGTTAACGTGCTCCCCTTCGAGTAGTTGCTATTTTTTAGTTGAAACGGATAGTGTTTTAGGTTTATGCATAGTTAATGCCAGTTTACTTGGCTTCTTTTTAACGTATTCGTTTTAGGAACTTTAATATTTATTTATATCAAACGACAGACGTTTTGATAGTTATCATTCGCCCTTTAGTTGACTTCAGGCTTCACAGAGGGGAAGGAACATCAAAGTGAAAAAGGCCGAAGGGGGGAGGAACAGAGGAGAGTTTCAAAGATGTAAAAGAGACAGACAGACACTAAGGTAGAGAAAAGGTGAAGTGAGTACTGTGGAAGTAGTCGAATATGACATAGAGTGGGATCATGATGGTTTGAAGCAAGAAGTCAACTACCGGTTTATGGACTAATTTTTGCTGTTAGAGTATATGTTGCCCAGAATGCTCCACATGGGGTTGTCTATCGCGCACCCTGAGAACTTTAGTATTGTTAATACGTTATTTTGCATTTCTACGTGCTCTTCAACCGGAAATGAGGTTTCTCAAATCCAAATTTACCTTTCATTTTCTTCCACTTGATGGAATGCAATTTTCTCATAGGAAGAGCTCCGAGTCTATCGCTGTCTATCTATGGGCTTGGAAAATTTTCTTGCTAAATACTTATGAACACAGAGAAATTTTATTCAAAGTCTAATGTTTTGATGTTAGCTACGCTGTTTACCATACTCTTCTCTTTCTTCTCATTAGTTTGATGTTGTTAGAAATTGTGTTCTCTCTATGATGAT